CACCACCACCACCAACAACAACAGCAACAACACCACCACCACCACCACCACCAACAACAACAACAACAGCAACAACAGCAACACCACCACCACCACCACCACCACCAACAACAACAATCTGTTCCCGACATCCTTAATTTCTTGCTAAATTATAATAATCCCTTCATGTCAGTTAATACTTAATACTCTTTACACTATGCTTTGGTGCATTTGGAAAGCAATAAATGATACTCATGTTGACCGTGCTAACATACATCCAAAAAAGGTGTTTGCTGTCTTCTCAGCTTTATTGCGGCATTTTTTAGATCCTTAACGCGAGCCTGCAGGTCCAGCGGCCAACTGACGATCATCGGTTGTGCCGATAACAACATGGAATGCTAGAACACGCTATTCCTTTTGTAGGTACAAATGTACAATATATTCAGATGTAGCATGGGCTTCATCGTCTGATATTCAGCTGCAACAAGCAGGATTGGGCATCCATATCCAACTTCGTCATCATCATGCCTCTAGCATATATGTTGCAGCACTGTCTCCAGCAGTAGGCTCTCCTCTACAGAGTGAAGTGTATGTTCTACTGCTGGCGGTCAAGGTGAAAAGCCTACTTCCTCGCAGATTCGCAGGTGCTTGCTTCAGCTACTAGGTCGGATCAAAATGCGACAGAAGGACCTTGGCAGATTAGGGCCAAGTCCGAGCCTCTTGCAGTTTTCATCCAAATAGGTTATCATATGTATCACTACCGGAATCGACCCCTATGTCGATGGCCCAGGCCGTCGGCATAGCCCTGATTCCTGTCGAGACAGGCCTATGCCGACGGCCCCCGTCGGCATAGGTGCGTCGACAACATATCCGTCGGCGTAGCCCGGGAGGCCGTCGTCATAGGTCCTATCCTGTCGGTGTCCGTACATCTATGCCGACGGCCTCGGCCATCGGTAACGTCCCCGCCTAACGGCGGCTGCCGTCAAGTGCTGACCAACGGCTGCACGCCACGTGGCATCTCTATGCCGTCGACGTAGTTTTAACCTATGCCAATGGCTAGGCCGTCGGCATAGCCCTGCCCCAGGAGTGCCCAGTGGCTGACACGTGGTGGCTATGCCGACGGCTTAGCTGTTGACTTAGTTTAAAACTATGCCGACGGCTAGGCCGTCGGCATAGCTGACACGTGTCAGCCACTGGGTGCTCACGCCAGCACTATGCCGACGGCCTACCTGTCGGCATAGTTTGTATCTGATTTTTTTTCTGTTTGTTTTCAGATCAATTCAATTCAAATATATAGCAGATATCAACAGATATATATATATGATGGAAATAGACATATAGAACACATCTAAGTATCATCCAGCACCGTCACAACAATATATGCAAAAGCATCATCATAATCAACATAAGCATAAGCATAAGCATTATCACAAAGCATAAGCATATAAAGAAGCACACAAGTCATCTAAAGGACCATCAAAGACCACAAGTTTATCATCATCACCACACCCAAGTAACCCAAAGGCTTAACTGCCAGGACGTCGAACACCGCGGAGGTCGTCACCGCCAAGTCCGCCGAAGTCCAGGTCGTCACTGCTAGCGGCAGCGCTACCGCCAAGACCGCCTCTACCTCGGCCTCCGCCTCCGTGGATCGGAGTGGTCAGGCTCCGTGACTCGGGAGTGCTGCGAAGACCACCACCAACGGTTGATCCACCGGTTCCCTGGATGTTGAAAAGACATGTTAACGGGATATATGACTGTGTTGAAAGGCATGATATGCTTTGGGTGAATAGATTGGGATGAACTAACCGGCGAGGGGCCAGCGTTCTGTGCCACAAACTCCTCAAAGGTAAGCAACCTTGGTTGTGGTGGAGGAGATGGTGCTGGTTGCAATTGAGGAACCCTGTCGTCCGCCATTTCCTGAAGAGCGTACTGCATCTGGCGATTACGGTGACTACAGAGGTTTTCTTCCAACATGGCTGGCAGCATAACATACGGATCGATCCACCACCCCCTTCGACATAAGCATAGTGTCGGTCTATAGGACTCTACCGTTGCCGATTTGTCGATTTTTATGTCATGAATTTTTGTCAGACTTCTGGATTTGGCTGTGTGCATCATAGTTATGCAGAGACCGGGTGTTACTGATAATGCTTTGTATCCACTTGATGCTACATTTTGAGATAATAAAATCGCCCTTTATCGAAAAAAATCATTGCACGACCTGATTGAAATAAGATTAGTTTAATTTTAGTTTAAAACTGCGACACTTCTTATGGATAAAAACATGTACATACTACTAGTTGGGTATCTAAATATAAGGATGTTTTAATGCTAAATTTATACTTCCTCTATTCCACAATATAGTGCGCTTGCACTTCTCAAGATCTAACTTTGACCGTAAATTTAATTAATAAGACCAACTGCAATCGGAGAAAAAAATATACCACTAAATTCATATTTCGATATGAATTCAGTGATATAATTTTTATTTTCGCCGCAATCGGTTTCGCATCTTGTTGATTAAATTTATGGTCAAATTTAGATTTCAGGATGCGTAGGCACACTAAATTGTGGAATACGGAGGGAGTATTTTGGTATGGAGGTGAGAGAGTTTTTATTAAATTCAGTCAAAGTGCAGCTCCATGGATTCAAGTTTCCAACCTAGCTAGGCTGCGCACCTGAAAAGGCTACGCAGCTCGTCGTCCAGTCCCGTCGACCACCTGCAACACAGCGTCCCACCCATCCTCCTCCTCCTCCTCCTTTACTGCGCTGTGCACAACAGACGAGACACCAGCATTGCCAAAGCTCCTTCTTCCCCAGCCTCGCCAAGAGCGCCTTCTGCGCCGCTTTCAGATCGGCGCCGACGATCGCCCGGCCGGCCGTCCTCCGGAGTCTGCCCCAAGGTAAATCCTCTTGGTTCTTCCCCTCTTTCAAATCCATTCCTTTCTCTCATCTTAATCCGATTTGTAGATCGCTGAAGCAGTTCTTACTTGCGCCCAATCTGCTATTATCTGTTGTACTAGTAGTAATGTTTGCTTCTCTGCATCTTTTCCGCGAGAGGAGCAGCCAGCATGCCGGACACCATGCTGGAGGACCTGCCCGAGTGGCTCGTCGTCGACGAGATCCTCGTCCGGCTGCCGCCCAAGGACGTGCTCCGCTGCCGCGCCGTCCGCAAGTCGTGGCGCGCCGCCACTTCCACCGACAGCTTCATCCTCGACAACCACCGCCGCCAGCCGTCGCTCCCCATCATCGAACAACACGACGAGGGCATCTTCTGCCTCGCCGCCGCCGGAGATCACAAGATACGGCCCGTCCTCCGGTACACTCCCGATCCAGTTTCCAGCATCGCCGCCTGCGATGGCCTCCTCATCCTGTCGCATCAGTCCAGCTTCTACATCTGCAACCCGGCCACCCGCAAGTGCGCTCCCCTGCCGCGTCCTCCGTTGCGGCCAGGATGCTGGCCCCCCAACGTCGTCGCCTTCTACCGACACGACGCATCCCCCCGAGAGTACCGGGTGCTTTGGGTTTTCACGGCACAGATGGCGAGGCGCACCACGTTGGAGCCGCCTCGTTACTTCGTCCTCCCGGTGGGATCGAAGCAGCCAAGATGCATCCAATGGCCGACAGTTTTACAGAGTTATCCCGCTTCCTCTGGCTGCCCACCAGTCCACCATCGTGGCGCCCTGCACTGGGGACTCAGCCTCGGCATAACCGTGTTGGACACCGTAGCCGAGACATTCCGGCACATGAGCTACCCAGCACAGCTGCACGGCGTTTTTTCACTGTTCCATCTTGGTGGCGACCTTGCTCTGCGGTGCGCCACCGGTGACTGCCTCACTATACACGTTTGGGTGCTGCAGGACTATGATGCCGAGACGTGGGCATTTCGACACCGGATTGACCTGCGAGCGATGGAGGCATCACCGCCGCTTAATTTGACGGTCACTTATTTCCCCCCCATGATGGCTGTGATCAACGAGCGTGAGCTGTTGATCCAGCATGGTGGTGACCGCCTGTTTCATTGTGACATCGAGGGTGTGTTCTTAGGATATGTGGAAAGCCAAGACCATGAAAGCAGTTTGAATCGGTTTGCAAACAGTTTGTCACTTACTAGGCATCGCCTCCAAGAGAGCATGATTTCACTTCCGTTGTTTGAGACGCGACAAGAAGATGCCGTGAACAAGGAGCCTAAATTCACCATAGTTCTGTAAGATGCGGCGCGCCACCTTACTGCTTCGGACTCCTGGTTTGATTGATGTTGTGCCCCTGGACCATCGTATCCCATATGAGACGTGTCTTTTGTTTTTGTTGTTACTATTTCGCACTACTACTAGTAGAACTGAACAATTTGGACGGAGGAAGTAGGGCTTGTGCTGTCAACATTTGGTACTTGTTATTATTCTATCTTGAACATCATGTTTATGTTATGAACAATGGAGCTTCTATGCTTTAGAATTATTCTTCTATTATCCCCTGTTTATGTTAACTGTGATTTGGTGCTCAGCGTAGTTTTGTGTTTGATTGTTCACTACAACGACAAGTAATCAGGTCACTACCATTGTCTTGTGTCTGACTGCTAACTTCAATACAGCTATTGTTGAAAAGGTTAGCTAGAACTTTGTTGCACTGGCTTTCACCATTTCGGATAAAAGAGCTTGGCTGCTATCTTAACAATCATGCTGTAGTCTGTTGGAAGGCTGGTGATTGTCTATTTATACTGCTATTGTCTAGTGTTATTTTACTGTAATATGGCTGTCTGTTTTGCTTTTATTTTCTGTGGGTTTGTCGATTTACTGATGTCGAATTGGTTCTGTTGCTAAGCTGTTTTTTGTCAGTTTTACTCAAAATGAGGAGCTAGAAATGTCCTCAAATTAGCGATATCTTATTCCTATAAAGAATGGAGCTTCTATGCTTCAGAACTGTTCTATTGTTCTCCCCTGTTTACTTTCAGTTTTGCATTGCTGAAAAGCAAAGACATGGTTTCAGTTTCAAATGCTAATTCTGCATCATTTGGGAAGCTAGCTGTGATTCGGTGCTTAACATAGTTTTGTGTCTGATTGGTTATACAGTGACAAGTAATTCGATCGCTACCAATGTCTTGGTGTCTGATTACCACCTCAATACAGCTATTGTTGAAAAAGTTGTCAAGTACTTTGTTTCATAGAGTACTTCCATTGGCTCTCGCCATTTTGGAGAAAAAAGCTTGGTTGTGGCATTTGTGTCCAGGATTTCTTCTTCCTTTTTGGTAGGAATATGTTTCAAGGTGTGCTATCTTAATCATCATGTTGTGGTGATAGTGTGTTCATGCTGCCAAGTTAGGAAACTAGTGCATGGTGCGCCATTGCTATTTTCCCGCCTTCAAAATTCAGAAAAATACAAAAATAAAAACAAGTTAGCAATGACGCACCTTATGAATAATGCGCCACTACTATTTTCCCGCCTTTACAATTAAAAAAAATAAAAAAATAGCAATGGCGCATTAGTGAATAGTGCGCCACTACTATTTTCTCGCCTTCACAATTCAAAAAAATAGCAATGGCGAACCAGTGCACGGTGCGCCACTGCTAAGTTGAGACAGAAGTTTAAAAGGGCCGGCCAGCCACTTACCCCTTCATTCTTCTCCTCCTCTCCTCCACTCCATCTCCTCCTCTCCGGCGACCTCCTCCTCCTCACGTTGCTCCTCCTCCGGTGACCTCCTTCTCACGGTGCTCCTCCTCCGGCGACCTCCTCCTCCCTCCTCTCCTCCTCACGG